CTCTCTTACAAGTTGATCTTGCAAGTCCTATTGTTCGGATCTTGCAGTTGTTGAAGAAGCTTGACCTTCGAAGGAACAACAAAGCCAGCACGAGTGCAGTAGCAACATTGGTCTTGTGAAGATATACCGTGCAGAAATTCACACAAGTGTAACTGTTGGTTCATTATTCAACAACCAACTACATAGTGGATTTTGAGGACGTAGAAGGATTACCCCACCTTCGAACCTCGTTAAAGTTTGCGTGTCTCTCTCTCTTATCTTTATTCTTACTTGCAATTATATTAACTGTGAAAACTAACCTATCCATATTAATTACTGCTCACTCCACCCACCAAATTCCGCACACAATCTAAAGTTCACAAGGACTCTAGATTAACACTCATTTTCTGGTTTTCAAAAGAAACGAAAAAGATTTAAACTTGTAACAAAGTCTATTCACCCCCCCCCTCTAGACTTTGTATTTCACCACTTTGGGACCACCAGGGGGCCACCATCCCCATGGTTGCTACCCAACCGACTATCTCGGCTCCAGTGGTGCCATTGGGATTAAGTTCAATCCCAACACCAAGTGTGGTCACTGCGTTCACAATTCCCGTCCCTTCTGCTAGACCGAGGGTCACATTCCCACCTAGCATGACCCGTCAACTTGACCAGTGTGCTTAACACCGTTGGGCCGTCATGCCCTCCACATAGTACAAATCCACAAATTACTCCTGATGGTCATTGCGTCTCAGTTGAGAGCAGTGACGATGAGTGGGAAATTCCCAGGACCCACAAAAGAAGAAAGAAAAAGCCATCGGGCCAGCAAATTCCCAAAGCTTCGCCTTCGAAAGGCTTGGGGATAAGGAAGAAGGTCAGAGGAAGTCAGCCAAGCTGAGATTGGGGCAGAGCATTGCCCATGTTAGCGCATTCACCCGGTTAGGCGAAAGGAGGGAGGCCGAGCCTGCCTGTACCCAGCGCTCCCAGTCGAACCAGCAAGAGCCTGCGAAGACAAGGGCCTCCCACCAAGAATAAGAAGCAGAAAGTCAACCCCGCAGACCCGTGGTTAATCGACTAACCATACTGGGTGATCGCGTCTAGCAAATGGAGGCGAAACTAGAGAGGTTGGAGAAGAAAGTTGGGGAGAAGAGTGACCGGGATAAACCCCTAGCCGGGTCCCCGTTCACTACGACGGTCCATCTGACACCTTTCCTGCGAAAGGTCAAGATAGACGCCCCAAGGTTTACCGGGAAGGAGGATCCAAAAATCCACCTGGATCCCTTCAATAAGAGTGCTGTTAGAATAATAGACCAACGCTAGAGGGGGGTGAATAGCGTTTGATCGTAGAAATCGCAGGAATTAAAAAATTAAAAGAGAATTAAAGAGAAGAGTAAGAGGCAAACCGAATTTTACCCTGGTTCACCACAACTTGTGGCTAATCCAGCCTCCCGAGAGACTCTCTCGAGCTACACTACTATCTCGTTAAGCTTGCGGGTGCTTAACAAACCGTTACAACTTGAGAGTTCGAGTTACACGAACCTCAAGGAGTCCTTCAAAGGAAACAGCCCTTCCTTTGAATCTACCAAGAGAAATACTTTCTCTCAAAGTGTCTAAGAACATGAATACACTCAAGAACGAGGCTCTCTTATAGAGTAGATTATGAGTAAACTAAGTACGCTCAAGAACAACTCAACCTCCACACAAAATGGCTCTAGAAAGCTATGGAAAATGATGATATTTGAATGCAATGAAAGTATGAATGTTGTGAAGTGAATTGATGTGTAAAGCAGACCCAAACACCCCTTTTTATAGTGCCAAAATAGGCTCCAACGGACCAATACATTAAAGGGGTGATTGGCTTGATTTATGGGATTGAATAAATTTGGGATCTGCAGGATATTGGCTTCCCAGCGATGTATGGACCTTACCCATCGCTAGTAGGCCAATTTTCCTTCAGTTTTGAAGCCAACGGTCACCTACCCATCGATGGGTAAATGTTTCCCATCGCTGGGTGGGAGGTTGACTTTCAAACAAGGAAAGAATCAGCCTTAAATGACTTACAACGGTCATGCCTTCCCATCGATGGTTAAGCCTTCCCATCGCTGGGTTCCCATCGATGGGTAAAGCTTCCCATCGCTGGGTAAGGGCATTCTGCCTTGTGATAATGTTGGACCAAGGCTTTAACAGCGATGGGTAGAACCTCCCATCGCTGTTTGGCATGGTTCTGGAAGTTGGTTTGGCTAAGGGGCCGCTTACCCATCGATGGGATGTTCTTCCCATCGCTGGGTGGGTGGTTAGCCAAAAACCTATGGTTTTTTCCTTAACCACGGCCTAGCCAACCGATGCAAAAACCGACCGAAAAATCCAAAGTTCTCCAAAATAAAAACCAAGTGTTTAAAACACTTATTTGATGTATTTGGCTAAGAAATCAAGTGAGACACTTTAAAAATTACGTCATTTGAGTAAAAACCACGACTAGCCAAGTTTACACCGTTTTGCGTGGTTTTTGTCAAACGACTAAAAGCGAGAGATGGTTTTCAAAGTGTTTTTGTTGGAGAACCGTTTAAATATGCCAAAGAGTGAAAGCAGATCATAAAATGCTGAAAACCACTTGGTTGGTTCGGATGCCAAAAACCAAACTCGACAACCGAAAGCCGAACGCTGGTTTCTGAAAGCCGAACACTGGATGGCTTGGTTTTTGGTTTGGGCGAACACCAAGTGTTTTTAATGACTTAAAAAAGTTTGAAAAACATTTTTATGATGTAAGAAGTGCAATGAGAGATTTTAGCCTAAAGAGCCAAGGTGTAAAGATTGGGTCGGTCTTGATCACAATAAAGACCGACTCAATACTATGACTAAGGTCTTCGTTCATGGTCTTCGTTTAGCTCTTGCTCTTATCTTCGTTCTTCGCATTGTATATTCAATGTTCGACTTGATCACGGCGGTTTGGAATTATCAAAACCTGTTACAAAAACAAACACGGCTTTAGTACGAAAACGTGACAAGCCCGTGTTTCAACAATTTCCCCCTTTTAAATAATGGCAAACGAGACGAGGTTATGCGTGGGAGGATTATTTTGAGAAAAAATGTTCCCCCTTAATAGATGCCATTTTACAAAAAAAAAATTCCCCCTCAATTTATGCATAACCTTAATATCTTCCCCCTTTTGACATTAACAAAAAGAATTAAAAGTGAACTTTAGAGTTTAAAAGTAAACTTTTATTAATTAAAAAAGGAGAAAATGCGGAATACAACAGAATTGAAATAGATAAAAGAAATGCAATTAAAGTAGGGAAAGGAGAGAAGGAAGAGTCTAAGCATCGGCGTCCTCGTTTTCGGCGTCATCGTCTTCTTCGTCGTCCTCAACGTCCATGGGATCCCCGTCGACCGCGTACTCAAAGTCGGCCTCGTCGGGGGAGGAGGATGGAGCATAGGAGTTATCCTCCTCGTCCTCGCCTTCATAGTTTTGGCCGAGGAAGGTGCTGTCAAAGGGCGGCGGGACGTAGTTGATGCTGCGGAAGAACATCGTCATGTCGTGGTGTTGGCGTTGCAGCGTCCAGTCCATCCGCTCGATTGACTGCCCCATGCCATCCACTGTGAGGGTTAGCCGATTCAGAGTATCGGCTATGGATTGCAAAGAGGCCTTGGCGGGAGCGGGGGCTGGTGCACGACTTGGGCCTGCGCCGTCCCGGTCTCCAGACTTCTTCCGGAAGGTGTTGTCGACGATCATCCAAAGCTTCGTCATCTTCGTGTCTGGCCCGGCGATGTGGATATCGGCGGAGATGATGATGCCCATGATGAGGAAGGCGTACGGCAAGCTCCGCTCGGTGGCGAGTGAGGCGCAATCCGCCATGTGTATCATGACAAATTTTGCCCAATTGATGGAGGCGCCGTGGATGATTGCATGAATCGCCTTCAAATCCTCGTTGAAGAGCGAGGTATGGCTGCTGTCCCGGGGGTGAAGAATCCGGGTGATGATGTAGAGGAGGAGGCGCTTGTCTGGTGGGGCTGAGTGAATCGTCGGCGCGCCGCTGTGGCGGATCAAGTTGGTGATCCCAAGCTCACGAATGACGACCGCCTCATTGTTGAGGATCCAATCGTCGCCACCGTACGTCGCAATGTCGTCACCGCAGATGGGCAGCCCTGCAATCCGTGCAAAGGTAGGCAAATCAATCTCTACATCGAAGAGATTGATGCTGCTGCGGATGGTGTCCCCGTCACGGCGGAGATTGGAGTAGAAGGCCCAGACAAAGGCGGGATTGTAGGACTGACGACTCCTAGAGATGAACGACCACAGACCTAACGCTTGAAGCTGATTGTCGAGGTCGTGGTACCCCTTTTGTTGAGGGTATAGCTCGGGCAGCACCCTGGGCGGAGAAATCGGGCGTTTGGCAAAGTGATTGAGGAAGCGCGTGAGTTCTTCCTCCGAGCCAAATTCGAGGAAGGATCCATCCAGGTACGGAAAGGGTTGAGGTGCAGAGGTTGTGGCCTTACTAGGGCCTTTCTTCTTCGATGCCTTTGACTTTGATCTTCCTCCGGCCATAGTTGTGGCGTTTTTGAAGAAAAAAGGAGATGAAATATTGAGATTTGGATCAAGGAATGAAATTATGATGTTACTGGTGTATTAGAATGAGCAAATATGAGGGATATATATAGGGAATGGGAGATTAGGCCGTTTGGATTCAAAAATATAGCTGTTGGGCAATTAATGTGGTGCCCAACGGCTCTGAATTTTTGAAATGCAGATGCCTTCCCAGCGATGGTAGGATCTACCCATCGATGGGAAGGTCGCCACTGGAAAGCGAGGAAGAACCCAAGGCTGCCTTCCCAGCGATGTTTGGATTTTCCCATCGATGTGAAGGTGGCTTCTGGAAATTGACGAAGAAAAGAACATGGCCTCCCCAGCGATGTTAATACCATCCCATCGCTGGGTTGGTAGTTTTGAAAATCCGTTAAAAAATTTAAAAAAAAATTAGTGTCAAACACCCATCGATGGGTAGGGAGGTTCTGGATAAAAATTTTGAAACTGAAATCATTCGCCCAGCGATGGGATGAAATACCCATCGATGGGTAAGGTGTTTCTAGAAATCCGTTAAAATTTTTTTTAAAAAAAGAGTCAATTACCCATCGATGGGAAGAGGGGTCCTGGAAAAATGAAGACTTCCCTCCCAGCGATGGTATAGCGCACCCATCGCTGGTTCCCCCTGATTTCCAGAATTCTTCACTTGGAACCGTCCCTGCAAAAAAGAGTTAGAAAACCCTCCGACGCTCAAGTTAGTAAACGTTCAAGCAAAGAAAAAGGAGTGATAAAATGCACAAATTAGATCATCGTAGAGTCAAGGATTCCGAGTTCACTACGAATGCGGAAGAACGACTCTTTCTCTAAAGGTTTTGTGAAAATGTCGGCTAATTGGTTGTGTGTTTCAACAAACTCAATTTCGACATCACCTTTGAGAACATGATCTCTAATGAAATGGTGCCTAATGTCAATGTGTTTCATCCTTGAATAAAGAACGGGGTTCTTCGTCAAGCTTATGGCGCTAGTATTATCACACCGAAGTGGAACGTGACTGATACTAAGGCCATAATCCACGAGTTGTTGCTTCATCCAAAGGATTTGAGCACAACAACTACCGGCGGTAACGTATTCCGCTTCGGTTGTGGATAACGCAACATTGACTTGTTTCTTACTAAACCATGAAACTAAAGAGCTACCAAGTAAGTGGCAAGTCCCACTTGTACTTTTACGGTCCAATTTGCAACCGGCAAAGTCTGAGTCGTAATAACCAGCGAGATGACACGAAGAGCCTTTTGGATACCACAGTCCAACGTTAACTGTGCCAACAAGGTATTTCATGATCCGTTTTACCGCTGTTAAGTGTGATTCCTTCGGACATGATTGATACCTTGTGCAAAGGCATACGCTAAACATGATATCCGGCCTACTAGCGGTAAGATAGAGAAGGGATCCGATCATACCTCGATACTTTTTGACTTCTATTTCCTTACCTTTCTCGTCTTTGTCTAGATGGTCGGACGTGCTCATCGGGGTCGCCATGGCTTTGGTGTTGTCTATTTCAAACCGTTTTAGGAGCTCCTTGCAATATTTAGTTTGACAAATGAACGTGCCATCATTCATTTGCTTGACTTGGAGTCCCAAAAAGAATGTCAGTTCACCCATCATCGACATTTCGAACTCGCTTGTCATTAACGTTGAGAATTCCTTGCACAAAGACTCGTCAGTAGCACCGAATATAATATCATCTACATAAACTTGAACCAAAAGGATGTTATTGTTTTTACTCTTGATAAAAAGTGTAGTGTCAACCTTTCCCATTTGGAAACCACTATCCAAAAGAAATTTACTCAACCGTTCGTACCAAGCACGGGGTGCTTGCTTAAGACCGTAGAGCACTTTCTTGAGTTTGAAGACATGGTCCGGAAACTCAAAGTCTTCAAACCCCGGGGGCTGGTCAACATACACTTCCTCCTGAATAAAACCATTGAGGAAGGCACTCTTAACATCCATTTGATAAAGTTTAAAATCCATAGATGAAGCAAAAGCAAGAAGTAAACGAATAGCTTCTAAACGTGCTACAAGTGCATAAGTTTCTTCGAAATCAATGCCTTCTTCTTGATTTTAGCCTTTAGCTACGAGCCTAGCTTTGTTTCTAGTGATTATTCCATTTTCATCAAGTTTGTTACGGAACACCCATTTCGTACCAATAACCGTACGATCATCGGGTCTTGGCACCAATTCCCAAACGTCATTCCGTTTGAATTGGTTTAGCTCCTCTTGCATAGCCAAGGTCCAATGTTCATCGTTTATTGCTTCGGAAATGGTTGTAGGTTCAATTTGAGAAACAAAAGCCATGTGTCCTACGGTGTCCCTAAGTGAGTTACGAGTACTTACCCCGCGGTTGATGCTACCGATTACCTGGTCAAGCG